TGAAAAATTGGATATCAAATTGGAGAGGAGGAGTATGAAAGAAGTGAATGTTTTCAGATACTTGGGAGTTGACAGTGTCGGCGGATGGATTTATGAAGGATGAGGTTAATCATAGAATTGATGAGGGAAAAAAGGTGAGTGGGGCGTTGAGGTATATGTGGAGTCAAAAAACGTTATCTATGGAGGCAAAGAAGGGAATGTATGAAAGTATAGTAGTGCCCCAAAACTTTTATATGGTGTGAAACAAGTCGGCCCCTCTCCCACCGAGGCAGGGTGACCCAAAAAAGAAAGAAAATCCCCAAAAAGAAAATACTTTCATCATCATTCAACACTTTCACCACACTCGCACATTATCACTGTTTTTGCAGAGGTGCTCAGAATACAACAGTTTAGAAGCATACACATATAAAGATACACAACTAATCCCTCCAAACTGCAATATCCCAAACCCCTCCTTTAAAGTGTAGGCATTGTACTTCCCATTTCCAGGACTCAAGTCCGACTATATGAAAAAAACCCAGTTTCCCTGAATCCCTTCACTAAATATTCCCCTGCTCACACTCCAACAGATCGCAGGTCCCAAGTAACCATTCGTCTCCATTCACTCCTATCTAACACGCTCACGCACGCTTGCTGGAAGTCCAAGCCCCTTGCCCACGAAACCTCCTTTACCCCCCCTCTCTCCAACCCTTTCGAGACGACCCCTACCCCGCCTTTCCTTCCCCTATAGATTTATATGCTTTCCATGTCATTCTACTTGATCCATTCTCTCTAAATGACCAAACCACCTCAACAAACCCCTCTTCTGCCCTCTGACAAATACTTTATTAACTCCACACCTTTTAGTAATTCCACACTCCGAATTTTCTGCATAATATTTACACCACACATTGCCCTTAAACAGGACATCTCCACTGCCTCCAACCGTCTCCTCGCTGCTGCATTTACCACCCAAGCTTCACACCCATATAAGAGTGTTGGTACTACTATACTTGTCATACATTCCATTCTTTGCCTCCATAGATAACGTTTTTGACTCCACATATACCTCAATGCACCACTCACCTTTTTTCCCTCATCAATTCTATGATTAACCTCATCCTTCATAAATCCATCCGCCGACACGTCAACTCCCAAGTACATGTATCTGAAAACATTCACTTCTTCCATACTCCTCCTCCCCAATTTGATATCCAATTTTTCTTTATCTAAATCATTTGATACCCTCATCACCTTACTCTTTTCTATGTTCACTTTCAACTTTCTACCTTTACACACATTCCCAAACTCATCCACTAACCTTTGCAATTTTTCTTTAGAATCTCCCATAAGCACAGTATCATCAGCAAAAAGTAACTGTGTCAATTCCCATTTTGAATTTGATTCCCCAAAATTTAATCCCACCCCTCTCCCGAACACCCTAGCATTTATTTCCTTTACAAACCCCATCTATAAATATATTAAACAACCATGGTGACATTACACATCCCTGTCTAAGACCTACTTTTACCGGGAAGTAATCTCCCTCTCTTCTACACACCCTAACCTGAGCCTCACTATCATCATAAAAGCTCTTTACAGCATTTAGTAACTTACCACCTATTCCATATACTTGCAACATCTGCCACATTGCTCCTCTATCCACTCTATCATATGCCATTTCTAAATCCATAAATGCAATAAAAACTTCCCTACCTTTATCTAAATACTGTTCACATATATGCTTCAATGTAAACACTTGATCTACACATCCCCTACCCACTCTGAAACCTCCTTGCTCATCCGCAATCCTACATTCTGTCTTACCTCTAATTCTTTCAATTATAACCCTACCGTACACTTTTCCTGGTATACTCAGTAAACTTATTCCTCTATAATTTTTACAGTCTCTTTTGTCCCCTTTTCCTTTATATAAAGGGACTATACATGCTCTCCGCCAATCCCTAGGTACCTTCCCCTCTTTCATACATTTATTAACCCTTTCAGGGTCCGTCCCGTAGATCTACGGCTTTACGTTCAGGGTCCAAACCGTAGATCTACGCCATGAGCTCAGCTCACTCTGATAAACTGTGAGTGGTACATTTGGGCCTAGATATGAGAGAATACATCTATGTGGTATGTGTGCACCACATAAAACAGATCCTGCAGCACACTGTGTATAATGAGAGAAAAAAACTTAAATCATGATTTTTCGATTAAAACAGCAACTTGCAGTGTTTTTTTCCTATGTTTTTTTATAGTTGTATTTGCGATTTCTTGGTCTCATTTGATAGAATGGAAGACATATTACAGAAATAGAGATGATTTTGATTGGTTTTTAGCACTGGAAATGGCTTGAAACTGAGCTCAAAGTAGCGGAAATGTTAAATTTTTGCCGATATTCAAGAGTAAACAAACGACCTCACACGTCTAATACACGCCAGCTGGTGGGTCTAATATGCATTCACAAATATGGTGATGATATTTATACAATTATTACAGTATTGCATAACAGTAAATCTCTATTTTTTGGTGTGAATAAAAATTCATTATGTGAATAAAAAATAAAAATGGAATTTATTTGTAAAGCCTCAAAACATAACTAATGAACAGAGGAAACGTTAGTTTAGTGCCAGGAATGCCTACATTGTTTATTCTGGACCCTATTTTGAAATTGGAATATTTTGAACTTTGTGTTAAATTGGCCAAATTAACAATTTCCGATCACTTTATTTGTAGTTGAAACAGTTGACTTGGCGATTTCTTGTGCTCAATCGATTGAATAGAAGTAATACTAGTGAAATAGCTAAGAATTTGGTTGATTGGAATAATGTAATTGGCCTAAAATGGGAGTCAAAGTAGGCAAAATCGCCGATTCGTAAATGTCGCTGACACATCAAAATTCGCGAGAGCATAATTTCGTCAATTTTCCACCAAATTTCGTACTTTTTGTTTTATTACCTTCACAAAAAGATTCTCTACGATTTCATAAGAAAAAATAAATTTTTTTTTTGAAAATTCTTGGACACTGGTGCGTGACTCCAGATTTGGGCCTTGGACCCTGAAAGGGTTAAACAAAAGTACCAACCACTCCAACACTATATCCCCACCTGCTTTTAACATTTCTGTCATGATCCCATCAGTTCCAGCTGCTTTACCCCCTTTCATTTTACGTAATGCCTCACGTACCTCCCCCACACTTACATTCTGCTCTTCTTCACTCCTAAAAGATGGTATACCTCCCTGACCACTGCATGAAATTACTGCCTCTGTTTCTTCCTTAACATTTAAAAGTTCCTCAAAATATTCTCGCCATCTACCTAATACCTCCATCTCCCCATCTACTACCTAGCTTACTCTGTTTTTAACTGACAAATCCATATTTTCCCTAGGCTTTCTTAACTTGTTTAACTCACTCCAAAATTTTTTCTTATTTTCATTAAAATTTCTTGACAGTGCCTCTCCCACTCTATCATCTGCTCTCCTTTTGCACTCTCTCACCACTCTCTTTACCTTTCTTTTACTCTCCATATACTCTGCTCTTCTTATAAAACACTTCTGCTTTGTAAAAACCTCTCATAAGCTACCTTTTTCTCTTTTATCACACCCTTTACTTCATCATTCCACCAATCACTCCTCTTTCCTCCTGCCCCCACCCTCCTATAACCACAAACTTCTGCCCCACATTCTAATACTGCATTTTTAAAACTATTCCAGCCCTCTTCAACCCCCCCACTACTCATCTTTGCACTAGCCCACCTTTCTGCCAATAGTCGCTTATATCTCACCCGAACTTCCTCCTCCCTTAGTTTATATACTTTCACCTCCCTCTTACTTGTTGTTGCCACCTTCCTCTTTTCCCATCTACCTCTTACTCTAACTGTAGCTACAACTAAATAATGATCCGATATATCAGTTGCCCCTCTATAAACATGTACATCCTGGAGCCTACCCATCATCCTTTTATCCACCAATACATAATCTAATAAACTACTTTCATTACGTGCTACATCATACCTTGTATATATATTTATCCTCTTTTTCATAAAATATGTATTACGTATTACCAAATCTCTTTCGTCACATAGCTCAATTAAAGGCTCCCCATTTACATTTACCCCTGGCACCCCAAATTTACCTACTATTCCCTCCATAACATTTTTACCCACTTTAGCATTGAAATCCCCAACCACCATTACTCTCACACTTGATTCAAAACTCCCCATGCATTCACTCAACATTTCTCAAAATCTCTCTCTCTCCTCTACACTTCTCTCTTCTCCAGGTGCATACATGCTTATTATAACCCACTTTTCACATCCAATCTTTATTTTACTCCACATAATCCTTGAATTAATGCATTTATAGTCCCTCTTTTCCTGCCATAGCTTATCCTTCAACATTATTGCTACTCCTTCTTTAGCTCTAACTCTATTTGAAACCCCTGACCTAATCCCATTTATTCCTCTCCACTGAAACTCTCCCACCCCCTTTAGCTTTGTTTCACTTAAAGCCAGGACATCCAGCTTCTTCTCATTCATAACATCCACAATCATGTTAATGTTGCAGTTTAAAAACTGTAGTGTAAAGCACCCTTTTGGCAAGACAGTGATGGAGTGAATGATGGTGAAAGTTTTTCTTTTTCGGGGCACCCTGCCTTGGTGGGAATCGGCCAGTGTGATGATAATAAAAAATAAAAAATAAATATATAATGTATATGTATGTATATGCATGTGTAGTGTGACCTGTATGTAAGTAGAAGTAGCAGGATTTACCTGTTATCCCATGTTTATGAAACAAAAAAAAATAAATCCTGCCATTATGTAAAACAATTACAGGTTTCCGTTTCACACTAACTTGGCAGGATGGTAGTACCTCCCTGGGTGGTTGCTATCTACCAGCCTACTACCTATTAACCCTAAAATATCCATACTTTATTTTGCCTTATATATTATATGAAAAGTCCATGACATATATTTGTGATCTGTGTATTTCATTTTTAGGCATTAATTTCTTTTCAGACTCAGACTCACGTTGAAACGACAGATGCATCAGTGTCTACTCCAGTTACTGTGAGTTTTCATCCACAACCACAGGATGATCTTTTTCACTTACCGACTCAGGAAAGTCTTCAAGTTCACCAAGTACCATCTAAGGATCATTTATCCTCTAATTGCACATTACTTCCTACAAGTCATGTAACTCTTGACATTAATCCTTTGACTACAGCTCTTGACTCTTCCTATGACTCATACAAAGAGACAGGCACTCCTCAAGGTATAGTTCACGTAGTTGATATTCCACAGGCGATTGCCCAACGGCGACTCAAGGAGATTGGAGATGAACTCAACAAAACAATACATTGTTGTGAACTAGATGTAATACCTAGTCCAGCTGGTGCTAGGGAAGTAAGTGAAGTGTTAAGCAACTCTCTAGAAAATAGTAAAGATAAAAAAGTTAGAGATAAAGTTGCCACTGATAGATTACAAACACTCCATGATTTGTTACTTAATGAATCTGCTTTGGAAAAAGACAAATATGATGAGTTTTTCCAACATTATGAAACTCAGAAGATGCAAACTATTGTATCAGTAGATAATAAAGAGAATATTCTTTTAACTGAAGGTCAGATTGAACATGAAAGACATGAAATACCAGAACATGAATTACCTGTTATTACTACTGACAGTTCACCAAAACAACAATATCAAGGCAATAATAAAATTACAATGAATGAGCTTGCTGAAGCATTTTCTGATGGAAGAATAACACTTGAAAATCTGTATAAAATGAGTTACTCCATGCCAATAGAAAATGAAGAAAAAGTTTTGGTAGAGAGGGATGCTAACCAAGATGTTGAAGATTTGGAGCAGCAAGCTTTAAAGGCTGCAGTGGGTCTTAATGAATCTAGAACTCTGCTTTCAAAGGTAAATCTTCTGCTTCAGACCTCAGAAAAATTGGAGAAAGAGAGACTAGAGTCACAAAGACTGGAGGCGTTAGATAAAAACATTACTCATTCTTCATCTATAATTAAAAAAAATCAGGCCTATGATATTACACAAAATATACCATTTGATAATTTGGGATGGCAAGAAATGCTGTCCTCGTATAAAAAAACTGGAAATCCAGACATGATTTTGAGGTTTGTTGAGACAGTAAATCTTGAAGACATAACTGACGAAATGATTGATGAGATAATGAAGTGGGAAGCTATGCATACGAACAAAGATTCACCTCATTGTACATTGTATTTTCAAGATTCTCCCAACTCTTTATTAGAAACACATGATATTAAGACAGTGCTAACAGACAATGAAAGTCCAGAATTTAGTATCCGTCAAAGTTTATCAGAGATAGATTGCTTAGATTCTCTAAGACAGATCAATAAAGGAATTTCTAGAATGTCACAAGTGCAGACAGTAAATGAAGGGGCAGTAACAGAAAGAAGTCCAAGGGAAGGTGGATGTAAAATAGTGGACAACTTGAATGAGACAGAAACGGTGACGGATTCACCCAAATTGCATCTCGATCTAACAGAACTCAGGTAAGAACTTTTCTTCACTCTAGATGACTATCATTTACAAGTTTTACAGTATCAATTTTATGAGAATATGTTGCCTCTGTACCAGAGGTAGCTTTTTATTTTTTTAACGGCTGTTCCCCACTGAGGCAGGGTGACCCAAAAAGAAAGAAAAAACTTCCATCATAATTCAACACTTTCACCATCACTCATACATAATCACTGTCTCTGCAGAGGCACTCAGATACAACAGTTTACAAGTCCCTGCAAACTGCTAATATCTCAAACCCCTCCTTTAAAGTGCAGGCATATACATACTTCCCATTTCCAAGACTCAAGTCCGGCTAATCGGTTTCCCTGAATCCCTTCACAAAACATTACCCTGCTCACACTGAAGCAGCTTGTCAGGTCCAAAAAATCTTTCGTCTCCATTCACTCCTATCTAACACGCTCATGCACGCTTGCTGGAAGTCCAAGCCCCTCGCCCACAAAACCTCCTTTACCCCCTCCCTCCAACCTTTTCGAGGACAACCCCTACCCCGCCTTCCTTCCCCTTAAGATTTATATGCTCTCCATGTCATTCTACTTTGATCCATTCTCTCTAAATGACTAAACCACCTCAACAACCCCTCTTCAGCCCTGTGACTAATACTTTTATTAACTCCACACCTTCTAATTTCCAAACTCTGAATTTTTTGCATAATATTTACACCACACATTGCTCTTAGACAGGTCATCTCCACTGCCTCCAACCATCTCCTCACTGCAGCATTTACAACCCAAGCTTCACACCAACATAAGAGTGTTGGTACCACTATACTTTCATACATTTCCTTATTTGCCTCCATAGATAACTTTTTTTTTGTCTCCACATATACCTCAGTGCCCCACTCGCCTTTTTTCCTTCATCAGTTCTATGATTAACCTCATCCTTCATAAATTCATCCACTGACACGTCAACTCCCAAATATCTGAAAACATTCACTTCTTCCATACTCCTCTCCAATTTGATATCCAATTTTTCTTTATCTAAATCATTTGATACCCTCATCACCTTACTCGTTTCTATCTATGTTCACTTTCAACTTTCTACCTTTACACACTCTCCCAAACTTGTCCACTAACCTTTGCAATTTTTCTTTAGAATCTCCCATATATATCTCTACACACACATATATACATAATATAAATATATAGATATATGGGATATTGGCAGTTTGGAGGGATATGTTGTGTATCTTTATATGTGTATGCTTCTAAACTGTTGTATTCTGAGCACCTCTGCAAAAACAGTGATAAGGTGTGAGTGTGGTGAAAGTGTTGAATGATGATGAAAGTATTTTCTTTTTGGGGATTTTCTTTCTTTTTTGGGTCACCCTGCCATGGTGGGAGACGGCCGACTTGTTGAAAAAAAAAAAATAATATTTTATCTGTGCAGTGCAGTAATGTGTCATTTCAGATCTTGGTCAAGCAGCTCTCTTACTACGATATCCAAGCATGGGTCAGCAAATCACAGTACTTTTGCTTGTGACACTAAAGTTAAAAGGCAGCAGAGAAGAGCAGAAATTCGTGCATGGATGAAGAAACAAATGGAAAAACGTTTAGAACCTGTTCAAGCTATATCCCAAAACACCATTGCCAAAACACACTTGAAAACTTCTAAGGTATTAGTGTCATATATTTTTTTACTGCACTATCCATACAGGATTTTTTTTTCTTTTACTCTGTAGTGTTATTACATACAATAATTTGGTTATTGCAGTGTCTGCTTATCAGGCATTCTAATTAAATACATACTGCTGCACGTATTTTTGAAGTATGGAAAATGTTTTTCCAGTAGTCAGTTTTTTTCTACTAATTAATTAGGATCACAACTATTAATTAGGATCACAACCTTTAAACACCACAGTAAGACTATATAACACTATCATTTCAGTTAATCTCTGTCTTTTCCTATTTTCTATCTCAGTTCCTCCGTTCTGTGAATTGGATTGAACCATATACCAACCAGCTGGCCAGATCACCAGTGTATAACAGCTTACAAACAATGGGGTCCACAGACTAAGAAATTGTTATTTGATAGCACTGGCACAAACACAGTGTTTGAGATGTTACATACATACCATGTGTACCATGTTGCAAATTAGAATGGTGTTTCTTAGAATAATATTAATATAGCCCTCCATTACTAAAATATTGACAGTTGGATCCAGAGTATGGAGAAGATTGGCTAATATTGTACAAAGATGCTTAGAGCACAGTGAACCTTTTTTAAGAAACATTGTCGTAGTGAAGGCTTGCTTGGCATTAAGCATTTTCGTTATCTTTGAATGGGAGGCATTCAAGTTAGATCTGAGGAAGGGGAAGGAAGATCCAATTCTTTGGATCAAGAGCCCAAAACCAGTGATTACTATAATCTTTAAAAATGGAAGGTTTGAATTATTATATTCATGGAGGAGGGGAGGGGGAAACATTAAACCCATAAGGGTCATATAGTACCTGGGGAAATGGAAGGCAGTTGGGTTTTAAGGAAAAGAATGTCACATCCATTTCCATGGATCAGAAGCCTTTCACTGGCATCAAGGATCCTAGCTATCTCCATGTCAATCTTCTTAACTGTTATTCTACACATAGTACTAATATATTTCATTTGTACAAGTTGCTGTTTTGTTTTTAGGTTTCTGTTATATAATTATTTGGTTCTGAACAGTTTGTAATTGTGCTCTTTTATTTTCCAGTATCAAGGCAAGACTCTAAAGAAGAGTACGCACACCATTAAAATGGAAAACCAAGGACTCTGTGGTAAACAACTGCGAGAGAGAAGCAGAGAGAGAGAAGACCAGCGTGTACAACTACGTGAAGATCACCAAAGAAAGAGAGAGCAGGATGTGGCTAAACTTTTTGTTGATCATGAAGAAGAATTAGCAACACACAGAGATTTGATGGTTAAGAAACTACTCTATGAATCTCCTCGCATTTCTAGGAGAACAGAGAGAAAGAAAAATACTCTCAGTAACACAGATGATGAAAGCCAATCTAGTTTAAGGTTGAAGAGAACATGTGCTAGTATTAGAACTACTGTACATTCACAACAAAGCAGTAAATCTAGACTAAAGTCCAGTTCTAGACTTGCTGAACCATTTGTTACCAAGCCTAAATCATCTGCAATGTATAGGAATTATACATTGCCAGAAGAGAAGGCCTTATTTAAAACTAATGCAGGTCTATGGAGAAAAGGGGAGCAGTCATCATCCGTGGTAGATAATTTAAGCTCCTCAAGTGCATCTCTTGTTAGTTTTAAAGGTCCAACAGATAGAAATAGAACTCGTGTCTTAAAAGAACAAAACATAGACAATGTTAATAGTGTTCAAACTGAACTGACAAACTTGATAATGTGTTTAAAACCTAGAGAAATAGATAAAACCTTGCCATTTAAAGAATCTGTCAATAAACCATTGTTATCCTCAACAGTTTCATTACAGATGAAAAGTGGGGGCACTAAAGGAAGTTTAAAAAGTATGACTGAATGGAAACAACCTGTAAATCCTGAAAAAGCATCAAATGATAAATTTAAATTTAAATCAAGTTTAGCAAGTTCCACTTATCCATTATCATTAGATCGTATCTCTGAGGTAGACTCAAATACCCCAGCAGCTTCATCACTGGACGTCTCAAACAGCAGACAAGAGGAATCATTATCTGTACAACGTGATGAAGGTTGCTCAAAACATGAAGACAGTAGTTCAGAATCATCATGGACCATCCCCACTGATGTAAAGAACTTATTATATGGGTAAACTTTTTGAGTCACCCTGTTTTTGAAATCTCATGAGTAAGCAAGAATAAATAAATGTTATGATGCTAATTATATTTTTTTGTTTGAGTTGTGATCGAAGGTTTGTCATATTTTTTGCCCTTACTATTAGTCTCATCTAATATTTATTAAATCAGTGTTTTTGTTGTACTTTATCACATGATACAGCATTACAAGAGCCTAGAAAAACTATACATAATTACTGTAAGACAATGAATATCAAACTAAAAGGTTAATAAATGTTTTAAATCATAAAGTATTATCAGTATCCTATTTCCATTTTTTAATTTAAGAATCTAGACTGAATTTCTTCCACTTTCCTTGACTGAATAAACTGCAGACAACCTCAGCCACTTTCCTTGGTCATGTAGAACTGCAAAAACAAGTCCATTACTGCTCTTGACAAAACAACTAGATATTGTCCTCGATCGAGTAAATGTGTGGACAGGGCCAATAAACGTCTTTAACAAAAGACTAAATAAAACTGTGGACATGTTATCATTATAATTAAAGCACTAAACCTGAAAGTGATATACAGCACTGCAGGGAGGGGTGTTTGAGGGGTAGAGGATATGAGATAGGGGAGAGTACAGGAGTAAAATTTCAATCAAAGATCATGCAGTAAGTTTCTGTTAAAAAGTGAGTCTGCATCAAGTGTGAGACTTAGCAAGGAGTCGAGTATGTTGGGGCAGTGGAGAAATAGGAAGTGAATTCTGCAAGCCTGCTGATATACAGGACAATCTATTAAGATATGTTAGGTAAAAGGACATGTGCAACTAATGTGACATATTACTGTAGCACGTTTTGCTCTCCAGGAACTTTATCAAGCCAAATTGGTGAGGAGAGAGAATTTTGTGTTACCAAATATCATACTAAAGATTTGTTAACCAAGCACTTCTCAACTCAGTTTACAAATTGCAATGGGTCATGATGAGAAGCATCATGACCCAAAATGCCTGGCTGAAAATGGGAAAAACTCTTGGGACCAAATGAAATTGAAAAGTGCTGCAGGGTGTAAATATTGAAGCATATGGACATGGATGTCGTCAGGTTGGTGTGGATTTTGTTGATGTGAACTCATGTATTGTGAAGGCAACATTTAAGGGTCCTCAGTGTGAAAAGTAAAATACAAAGATGTCAATTCCCTCTTGGATTTGGAGGAAGGAAACTAGGGAAAGAGACGTAACCCCCTGAGATACACGTACAAGGTGATACCTAAACTCTGGCAGTCTCAATAGGATGATCTGCAATGCCATTGCCAGCAACTGTAAGAATGAAAGTAGGGTCCAGAAAGTATTTACCAGTCAATTTCTGCAACTTTTGCCATATTGTGCACATCAAAGCAGTGGTAGTAAACCTAAGCTCACAAACAAGTATGTTTTGCCACTGGGCAAGTGCCATCATCTGTTTAAAAAATAGTAACTGGACCACAGGTTTGTTGTTGTGGTAACGACCCCATGCATCGTGTTTCAAATGCCCTGCATGGTCACAGCATTTTAAATGCCCTGAACGATCACAGTTGGGAAGTCACCAGGGTACACATTTGCAATAATGTTCACCCTAGGATCGGAGAATTGCAATTGATGTTGCAGCAAGAACAGAGATGATGCAAAGTTGCAACAACTCGTCAGAAGATAAAGCGAGAAAAGGGATATGACGTGCATAAAGCACCAATCTGCTCACTCAAATTGCCAGTGGGAATGACAATTGGGTTGGGTGGATGAATGAGAGGTAATGAGAAGAGGGAAATGATCACTGTCATGAAGATCAGGTACAACAAACCAAGCAAAGAGATTTATATTGGAAATTGTATGAATGTGTAGGTACCAGTGTTTAAGACATGGAGAGGAAGAAAACTGAGGAAAGTCTTTAACTGGTCCCCACAAGAGTCTCAGCAAGACCCTCTCAATAGCAAATGAGCATTAAAATCACCTAATGAATGGAGTGGCATAAGTATAAAGAAATCAGAAACTGGATGTAAGGGATATATAATGGGCGAGAAGGGGAATGTTACAAACAGCAAACCGTGTACCATTTAATTCAATATGATGCAGCATGAACAAACAGAAAGAGGGACAGGGGGATATTGAAGTGTGGCTCTGATAATGGCAGGTCTAGCACTTTACTGCTGAGTTACGGGGTTTGTAATAGGAAAGATAATGGAAACAAAACTTCTCTTCGTGTCTCCATCAGTGGTACAGACTGTGACCGTACCGACTCTCCCACAGCATCACTAGCTTTTGCAGTAAATCTATCCTTACCTCCCTCAAAGCCATACAGTCTACAATTTCAAAGTCGTAATAAACGACTGTCAATGAATTAAGTTCCGAATGCAGCATAGTGGAGTACAAACTGTAAGCCGAGTAAAAGTAATATAATTGTACACAAAAATTGCACTTTTGTTGCATGTCTTGTCTGGAAAAGGATGGAGAAATTGTAATAAAACAGTGGTGATAGGGATTTTAACAGTGGAACATAATTTCGGTTCCTGGAAACAGATACATACAGGGAAAAACGAATGAGCAACATTTGGAGCCCCAGGATTTTGCAGAATCCTTTGATATTCCACCACAATAAAACAATTATATTTGAACAGTAAGACAACGACATCAGAAAGCAGACGGTGGCTATGAGCTAGAGTGAGGAGTAAAACTGATATGTGGAGGTAGCTGTAAATTATAAAATGATTTATAGGTAACTCTAGAAGGATACAGAGCAGGAGCAGATGTAGTGGGTTGTAGAGGGAGAGAACGTGAAGGTCTCAGTAGTTCCCAAAGACAAGGAAGCTGGTAATGTGACATAAGAGGCAGAAGAGGTAGATGAAGTAGTGGAGACACTGGCAGCTGCCAAAATGACAGAGAGAGGAGAGAGAGAGAGAGAGAGAGAGAGAGAGATAGAAAGAGAAAGATAGAAAGAGAAAGATAAAAAGAGAAAGATAAAAAGAGAAAGATAAAAAGAGAAAGATAAAAAGAGAAAGATAAAAAGAGAAAGATAAAAAGAGAAAGATAAAAAGAGAAAGATAAAAAGAGAAAGATAAAAAGAGAAAGATAGAAAAGAGAAAGATAGAAAGAAAGATAGAAAGAGAAAGATAGAAGAGAAAGAAGAAAGAGAAAGATAGAAAGAGAAAGATAGAAAGAGAGAAAGAGAAGAGAAGAGAGGAAAGAAAGAGAAGAGAGAAGGAGAGAGAGAGAGAGAGAAGAGAGAGAGAAGAGAGAGAGAGAGAGAGAGAGAGAGGAGAGAGAAAGAGAAAGTAAAAGAGAAAGTAAAAGAGAAGAAAAAGAGAAAGATAAATGAGAAGATGTAAAAGAAAGATAAAAAAAAATAAAAGATATTATTAGAAAGATAAAGTGAATAAGAATGAAAGAGTGAAGGAAGGAAGATGAAAGAAAAAATGAGACAGAGTGAGAGAGTAGAGAGAGATGAGAGAGAAAAGGAAAGAGATAAATTAAAAGATGAGAAATAAAAAGATAAGAGAGAAAGAGAAAGAATAAGAGCAAGGAAAAGAAAGAAATGAAGTAGAAAGAGAAAGTAGAAAAGTAGAAGCAAGTACAAGAAGAAAGAGATGGAGTCTCATGGACGGATTCATTATTGGGCAAGTGTTCAAATTCAAATTCAAAGTTTTTTCTATAAAGATTACAATGTTGAATTTACAGAATTTGGTTGTTGTGAGTTACATGTAGTTAAATAATGATACACAGAGTGTACCACTAGACACCTAGCATGGCTAGCATTCGGGCGATTAATTAATTCATTTTTAAAATATACAATTATGAGGTAAGTTGGTATTATGGCTAAGTGATAAATACTAGTTTGGAGTTAGCAATGTGAATGCTTTGTTTGGCACAGTACATAGTTTCAGTATTGGGTTCATAGATTCATTATTTTAAGATTGAGATTAATATTTCTGTTATGGTCAAATGGTGAGTGAGTGTAAGTGTGAACCACCAGGTGGTATTCGTGTAGTTAGTTGATGGGGTGTATCAGGAGATAAGATGTTTTCTAATGGTAGTTTTGAAGGTGATGAATATGTCTGCAGTTCTAGAGTTCTCAGGTAGGGTGTTCCAGATTTTAGGGCCTTTGACATACATTGAATTTTTGTGAAGGTTTAGTCGGACATGGGGAATGTCGTAGAGATGTTTGTGTCTGGTGTTATGCCTGTGGGTTCTGTCACAACTATCAAGAAAGCGTTTTAGGTCAAGGTTGATATTGGAATTTAAGGTCCTGTAGATGTAGATTGCACAGTATTCGTGTGGATGTACTGAACAGGGAGTAAGTTTAGATCTATGAAGAGTGGGGGGGGGGGGTGTTGCCAGGGATGGGATTTAGTGATTATTCTTACTGCAGCTTTTTGTTGGGTTATTATTGGCTTTAGGTGTGTTGCTGCAGTTGATCCCACAAGGAAGCGTGCTGGGTCCATTGTTATGGAGTGTCAGATGGCAAGTAACATTGCACCTGAGAAAACGCAAATGATGATCGTCTCTAGGCACCATGATGGTAATGCTGGTGCAGTAGTAAGGATGAATGGGAGGGTGTTGGCACCTGGAGAAGAAGTTGATATCCTTGGGGTGAAATTTGACTCCAAACTAACCATGAAGAACCATGTTGTAAATCTTGCAAACAAGGCAGCCAGGAAGCTTACAGAACTTCGCCGTATCTCGCATCTGGTTGACAGTAGGGGTTGCAAGATCCTGTACGAGGCACAAGTACGCTCGCACCTTGAGTATGCTCCACTTTCTTGGTTTGTCTGCCCCCCCCCCTCTCATCTGCCACTGCTTGACAGAGTAGAGAACAGAGCAAGACGTCTCATCTCTCGCCTGGACCCATCCTGGATAGATCTGTCATTTCAGCAGAGCCTTCAACATAGGAGGGATGTGGGTGGCCTTACTGTTATGTACAAGGCCAATATTGTCAAAATACCACACTTGGATCCACTTCGAGGACAGCGTGAAACAAGCTTTTATGCCACAAGACGGGCAGAAAGCAACAACTTCACTCTGGCTGTACCCTTCTCCAGAACATCACTCCATCTGAGATCATACATACCCAGGATGACCCGAGTATGGAACACATTCGTACAGGATAATGATGTCAACGAGATAAAGTCAGTTGATCAAATGAAAATGCTGGCCCACAGATGGCTCCAACTTCATCCTGTTTCCTACTTGTATGTCTCATAACAATAAAAATGCTTTCAAATGAGCTGATGTAGGTAACAGCTCTTAGCTTGCCAATAAAGTTAGGAATCCTTAACCTGTA